GAAATGGATAAATAAAAAAACTAAATTTAATTTTAAAATAGAAAGATATAATTAAATTTAAAAATGAGAAACTATTTTAAAATAAAATGTCTATTAAAATATTTAAAATTGCTATAAAAAATTAAAAATCTTCACAAAATTTTTTTAAAAAAGAAAAAAGTTATATAAAATTTATTAAATAATAAACATCAGGTAAAATGTAGTTAAAGTCATATAAAAGTAAAATATTCTATATTAATAATAATGAAAAATTATGTCCTTATTAATAAATAATATAAGTAAAACTGTATTATATTTTTAAAAATTTATATTCGTGTTTATATATCATGAAAGTTGTCCAATTATTCATATATTTTTAAAGAGATTTAGTTATTATTTTAAAGTTTTTAAATAAACTTAAAAGTAATTTGTTACAAAAATATTTACTCTGCATCATTTTATTCAATATCACGTCTAAATAATAAACACGAATATTAATGTTATGAAAATATAATTTTTAAAGGTTAAAATTGACTTTTCAATTTTAAAATGATTTAATATAAAGTTATTATTAATAAATTTTACCGTTGGATTGTATGATTGTAACCTATGGTAAAAAATTTGTGATCTTCGTTCAATAAATAATTTGTAAGCTGATTCACACAGAAATTTTCATATTATTAACAAATGCAGCAGAAGGAACGGAGGCACCGTTCTCAACCTCCTCTCTTTCTCCCTCCTGCGGTGGCTGCGAGTACGAGGCACCGTCGAATGTCTGACGAATCAACGCCGACCGCCTCCGCAAAGCATTCTTTGTCGTGGCGGCGCAGTCTCACCAGGGTAACAAGCCTCTCCAGTTGTTCGTCAAGGAAAATGCCTAAATTCCTCGGTATCTTGAACAGTTTCGATCTGTCGGTAAGCGTGTTCCAGTCGTTGGTGTTCGCTTTAGTTCCGCAGATTAGGGTTTTTGACTCTGCGGATCGTTTTGTGATTGTTTCTGTGCGATTCGCAGTGTGATTCAAGAACGAAAACGTCTTCACATAATTGCTTGCGCTAGAATCCTACGATTCTTCTCTAAGTCGTGATTCTTGCTATTCAGATCCGATTCATGCGATTCATAGTGTGATTCAAGCACCAAAACAATTCGTATAGCCAGCGGCTGGAATCGTATCGAATCGTGTCGTGTTGTATCATTTCTTGAATCGATATTTACTAGCACGTTTACCCTAAACAATCACTATTATCTTATTGATTTTTGGTTTAGCACAACAATCTCTTTGGGGTTTATTACTGTATACACCCGGATGCTGTCTGTTCTCTTATCATTATATAATTTGTTAGAGGTTTTTTTGTGTGAACATCTTTCTTCGTTAGAAGTTGTAGTTTTATTATGCATACCAATATTGTCTTTCCTTGTTTCGGTTATTTTTTCCCATCCTTTTCCAAGTGTTGATGTTATTGGTTAATCAAGGATTCTATTTCAAGAATAAAGCAATGTATTGAATAAGTTAATTGATTTGTGTTGTTAACTTTCAATTAGCTGGAAAGTTGTGTTGCTACTCCTTTTCAGGTGGAGGAACCAGAATTATCGGAGTAATATTGTGGATTTATTGCTCATAATTTTTTCTCTATATCTGTACTACTTATAACAGAAGAAATGAACTTATTTCTGTATTCTCGACTTAATTGAATTGTTTCGAACATGCAACATTTGTTATTTATGAAGATTGCCTGTTGCTCTCTCATTGTTGTCCATAATACTTTATAATAATTTTAATTTAATCCCGTAATTATACAGATTTTGGCTATTTGAGCCTTGTTGATTCTTCCGTGACAAAGAGGGTTGGTATGCTGAAACATATGGCAAAGATAAGAATGGTCATACAATGCTCTCCCAAAGGTTCTTGGATGGCTTGCCCTACAGTGAGTGAGTTGACAGGTACGTGCAACACGTGGGTGATATGTATTCTCATCTTTTAACTTTAAAAATTTATTTAGTGTTATAAGTTTCTGTTTTCAAAATTTATTGTATCAAATGATTATTTTAGAATGATGTATAAATAATATTATGGATGTTGGGGAAAGTTTGACATGGTCACTGAAATGAAAAGTTGATATTTATATTTTGGAATTTGCAGTTCATTCATATTTTGTTTAATCTTTTTTTTTTTTCCAGAAATTATTTAAGTCTGTTTGTCATGCATTTTGGCTTGGTAAACTGCTCACAGGTGACAGCCACAGTTCGTATATTTTTAAACAAGAGTTGTCTCTGATTTGCTTTTGATTGTATAATTTTGTGGAACCATTTTCGTTGATATGAAGGTTTTCCAAAATCCTTTATTAGTTTTTGTAATATATTATTGAGAGTTTCCATATTTCTTAGTATCATGCAATTAAGATAATGAGTATCTTCATGGTTTATAATAGGAATAAATGTGATGGAAGAAGTATATGTCCCTGCCTCCCTGGTCATGCAGCATCATGTTGAAGTTTGTGTCATGGTCATATTCTTATTATAAGTTGTTAATCTGGTAGCATTATAAATATATAATAATATATTGCAAAGGGTGCTACAAGAAAACCCTTAATTTTTCTTTTACTTTTACAATTTGTTATAGATGTTTTTTTCAAGACATGCTAATTATAGATGTAATGGATTTCTTGCCGGACCAATTTGACATGATAGATTTATCTGCCAATGAGATTGCCAAACTTGAAAATGTTCCATATCTTAACCGGTTGGGTCTAGAATTAATCCCAACATTGGAGGTATGGTTTGATGTGGTTTTCTGGATTACAGTGCCATTTGTATTGTAGAATTTTTGGAAAATTACACTGACTAGTTCTCACAAACAACAGAATTGTAAAGTTGGTAGAAATTGATCCTTTAGCAGCATCCATTCCAAAGTTGCAGTTCCTTAGTCTGGTAGACAACAATATTATGAAGTAAGAAAATTAAAGGCTTTTATGTTGTTGACAAGATGAAATCCCTCCGAGTTTTGGATTTCAAGAAAGTGAAAAATATGGTAATATTTTCCCTTGGTTTGGGGTTTGGGGTAGGGGTAGGGGTAGGGGTAGGGGTAGGGGTAGGGGTAGGG